GGGTTGTTTTCGTTTGTACTGCTCTCCTTCTCAGCGTTGATCTGCATGTACAGGAGCCAAATATTTTGGGCATTGTTCCCCTAATAAAGTAAACAAGCTCTTGTTTTCACATTGCTGATCTTTACATGCACTTTATTTATCCAAATGCCATGATCACTTACATTTTACTACACCCTAACGATCGAAGATGCCTTAGGGCTTATTTTGCATATGTGCTCACTCATTCGCGCAGTGGCACAGAATGAATGAAGTGCGTACCACACTGGTGCAGAATTACATGGATGACATGCAGAGATTGATGGAGGCTCCATGGTAGCAAGCTTCTTAGTAATGGTAGTAGTAGCATTCCTTCTCCTCCCACTCATCTTTACTGTTCCAACAAAAAGGCGGCGTCAACAGTGACGTCGGCGGCAGCAAAGCCGGCGAATTGTTGGCTTGAAGACTTTACATCAGCAGTATAGAAAGCTTTTGCAACAAATGTTGCTAAAAGGTCGTCAAGAGAGTGAAAGTGTTTCTTATCTACGACGCCTTTAAAAACCTACAGTAAAGCGTCAAATTCGGTTAAGCTGCATTTTGGCTACTTAGCCCGAATTTGCGCCTATACATACGCCCTACGCATTCAGGTCTATTTTTTCTGTCTGATTAAATAAATAAATAAATATGCGTGACAGGCGTCAGAGGAGGAGCCGTTCTATCACCAAGGCGTGCCTGTGAAATTCTACATAGTTAAATTCTACTTCATTCGCGCTAGTAGCATTAACTCGTGGATGCATACATCAACATTGGCATTAACATGCAAAAACACTAGTATTCATCACACTTCTGACATTTATCCTTTGGCTGTCATCCCTGAAATTTATGCCAGAGAAATATAAGGCAACAGCGAGTTAAGAGTAGAATGCCGACTCCATGTCGCACAACAAAAATCTGGTTGTAAAACAACGGATGAGAAATGCAAGATGTTGATGAGGCTGCGTGCAATAAATTAGACAACGGCGAGAGGACTTCAAGGCACTTGCCCCATGGGCAGCAGGTTCTGCAAGCAAAATTATGGCACTGCAAATTATTGGAATCATCCACTCCGCTTTACCTTCTAAGCAAATTTAACCAGCTATGGAAAAGTAAATCGCCAAGCAGAGCCAATCTTTTTTCAGAGGATACCCTCAAAATGGAAGTCCCTGCTGTGAATTGAGGCAGGTCTCTGCTTGAATGCACAAATCTTTTATATAAGTGCAATTTCGGAACTATGGAAACTTTGAATAGGTGTGGCCGAAGACACACATTTCCTATGACATAACTAGGACCGCCCGTATTCTTATGCGTCACAGCTTCATATTCCACCCATTTTAATGGAGTAAGCTACGCCTATTAAATTTTGCACAAAATATGTAACCAGGTTTTTCATTTGAGGGGCTAGGCAGACTGGTACAAAGACACGCAACGATACCGCATAGATCAGCAATGCAGGCACGAGTTGCGCTGTTTGGCTGAAGCAACCAATCGACGTGATTTGATCACTTAAATGCTCCAGTTTATCCAACAGGAACTTGACTTATGCCTAACCTTGATAACAAATCCAGATAAAATGTGACAAACAAGGATTATACAGACCCACTATGGCAAGAAGATCCATCTGCCATTATGACCAAGAATTCTGAAATGAATCCTTGCACCTGATTGTAAAATATGGAACACAAAATGCAGGATGAAGATCCTCCATTCATTAACGATGCATAATTCTTCACTAGAATCCTCTTCGTTATTAGCTGGTTCACTGTTATGCTTCATTGGCGCTATCGTCTGCTAAAGGAGACGTCGTGTTAAAATCTCCAACACTAAAATTAAGTCAGAAGGTCAGCATAGCGGTTGTTACTAAAATCTACTTTTGTAATTCTACTGATAGGGCTGATGACAGAGGGGGCGGTGTGCAGATGATTACGCATTCAATTTGTAAAACATTTTCTACTACAAGACTAGAGAATAATAGGACGGTTTGAGCCATGGTGGCGCTCTCAAACATGAGCTTAGATGGTTTGGAAGTGGGTGAGGGTTACAGATGAGTTAATAACACGTTTTCGATGCTATAGAATGGGAAGGAGCCATCACATAGTGGTTGCTGCTGAGCCCACAGGTTCATAATTAATAGTGTCGCGACACCTGCGTGAACTCTTCTACAGTGCAATGGTAAAAGCAATGCTCAAGTCGTACGCAAAATGTGGCACAGGTACGAAGAAGTACACTGGATTTCTACTGCTAATGAAAGTTAGAGGTAGCAGGTGATTGGTGAATTCCAAAGTGTAGTTATTCGATAGCAATGGATTTTGAACCACTACAGTGCAGAATCCATTTTTGCTAGCTGTGGTAAGTTTAGTGGCGACGATTCTTCCAGGCAAGTGGGTTATTTGTCATTCCGCGGTGTCTATCCTTTCTCCGAAACGCATATCCCTACAATTCGGACATGCCAAGTGGTAGAGGATTACAGGCTGGCAAGCAGCCTGCCTTCGGGGGCGTTGGGGGGCAGACTAATCCCTCTTATAACAACCTCTGTTTGCAGATAACCACTCAGAGTACTTTGTGAAAAATAATATGTGACTAGCCATGTAGCACCGAGGTTCAGCGCCAATTGATTCTTGGTGTGGGCAATATGCAGACGTGAATGTGCTGTCTTCACAAATGAAGTCTTGTTCACTAAGATGTCGCAAGTGTAATCACCACGTAGAGGTACATAAATTTCAGAGCGATAGTAAATGGAATGTTCGGCTATGCGTACAGTGAAGAATCGGAAGGTCTAGTTTGTCATCACAACGCTTTTGTTTGCATTCTCAGCCGCGGATGAAATGGTATTTCATTCTATCCGGCAAATGCAACACTCGTACAGACGGCGAGTAGCAGACAACAAGTTGAGTATTCAACCTTTTGTGCTAGATTTTTAACCGCCTGTTTTGGAAACTAGGAAGTAGTCCAAGCCTTGCAGCATCTAAACTGGGTACATAGATGCGTTGCCATTTATTTACCGCTAAATTTTTAACCTGGAAGGAGCTCTGGAATAGGCATAAAGTCAAAAGCCACTCAATAAAACCTATTTAAAGGTGTCGAGTTTCATTTAGAACTATGGGCCTTCATGAACAGCTCTAACAAAAAACAACCTCGAATGAGCAGCAAGCAGCTAACTGATAGTTTGACTACAACGTCACTCATCTACTGATTCTGCTTGCTCGAATGTGCTTCTGACCTTTGGGAGTTGTAACCAGAAATTTTGGTTAGTAGGTAAATTAGCTTTAGTGATGCTTCATTTGACGAAGAAAATACTTCCATGTAAGTCTGTCTTCCCTTTGCACGAAAATTAGGAGAGCCTGCTAACATAGTGAGTCAAAATCTACCCCATTTTGGGTAGGAGTAAGCACATTCTGATTCAGCAAAAATTATCCAAAAATATCAAAAGCAATAATGCTGTCTAGTATAAACGAATGAATGGAAGCTTTTGTATTTAGGAAACCACTGAAATGTGTAGTGGAAAAAAGCTGTCGGATAGAAGCAAGTGAGGGCCTGTAAGTTCCAACTAATGCAACAGTTGATCATTTTCATTGGCTTACAAGAAGGTTCAAGCAAGTAATAGGAGCCCAGCCATTGCAAAAATTAAGGCAAATCCGCTAGCTCTGTCAGCGCCACCTTCCCCTGCAATGCGAAAATGACATCTTGTCAGTGTCGTTACGTAGCACACCAGCGTCACTCAACTGTAAACTCTGCAGTATCGAGCATTAACTACTGACGCCTTGTGGTTCGCCTAACTTGCGGTCTAGT